TCTTACGGGACACTCTTATGGGACACTCTTGTGGGACACTCTTACGGGACACTCTTGTAGGACACTCTGTGGGACACTCTTGTGGGACACTCTTACGGGACACTCACACTCTTGTAGGACACTCTTGTGGGTCACTCTTGTAGGACACTCTTGTAGGACACTCTTGTGGGACACTCTTACAGGATACTCTTGTAGGACGGATACTTTTGTGGGGCACTCTTGTGGAACACTCTTGTAGGAAACTCTTGTGGGACACTCTTATAGGACACTCTTGTGGGACAGACACTCTTGTAGGAAACTCTTGTGGGACACTCTTGTAGGACACTGCACACCTGGAACATCCGCTTGTGTAAGTGGTCCTGGATCATATGGTCGATGAAAAGTCTGCTGTCCAGTTACAGGCGCATCGGCGGAGGACGATGAAGTCGATGGCAAAGCTTCAGCTTTTTTGGCTGCCTTCACTGCAAGCACAGCCTTGTGGACAGCCTTTTTGATCACATATTTTGTTGGCTTGGTTCTTTTCAGAAGCTCTTGGCGTGCGCTTGTTCTGAACCTGGTTCAAACTCATGAAGTAGACTAATAGTGAGACCTTGAATATTCTGAAACTCGCATCGACATCCTTAGTTGCTTTGGTTCCTCTCTCTCTCTCTCACCCCGACCCCTCTGTGATAATTAATTGAGGGGTGTGCGACCTCTCCACCACCTCTTGATTGTTTCTCCAGTAGACATGACTATTGCTTCATCCAAGGTAGACCGGGAAGATGCCAAGTAATTTTTTTTACCCGACTTAAGATTCTCGATAAAATTGACGAAAAAATGTCGAAAAATGCTAATTGAGAAAATAATTCGTGGGTCACCCCCTCCAATTAATTTTTCAGTGGAGGCGTCGTAGTTCATCTCACAACAGCCCGCTCAACTCACCCCAGCTCATCTTACACCAGCCGAGTCAACTCACCCCAGCTCATCCCACTCAACTCACCCCAGCTCATCTCACAGCAGCCCACTCAACTCACCCCATCTCATTTCACAGTAGCCCACCCAACTCACCCCCACTCATCTCACACCGGCCCACTCAACTCACCCCAGCTGATCTCACACCAGCCCACTCAACTTACCCCAGCTCATCTCACAGCGGCCCACTCAACTCACCCCGCTCATCTCACACCAGCCCACTCAACTCACACCGGCTCATCTCACACCGACTCATCCCACACCCGCTTCTCGCCCCACTTCTCGCGCCATCGTGCCTCAAGCCAACTCACCTCACGCCATTACATCTCACACAGACTCATCTCACACCCGCGCAACTCTCACCAACACTAACCACTAAAACTGACCTCACACCAACTGAATGCACTGACCAAATCACGCCCGCCGCCCGCCCGCCTGCACGCCTGCACTCAGTCACTCAATCACTCAGTCACCCACTCACCCACTCACTCACCCACTCACTCGCTCACTCACTCGCTCACTCACTCGCTCACTCACTCACTCACTCCGTCACTCCGTCACTCCCTCACTCCCTCACTCCCTCGCTCGCTCACTCCCTCACTCCCTCGCTCGCTCACTCACTCACTCACTCCCTCCCTCCCTCCCTCACTCACTCACGCACTCACAACAAAAAATATATATATATATATCATGTTCACGATCGCCCTTCACCCGTCTTCCTTCCACTATTTTACCGCCACTTGTTATAAGCACGCGGGCTTCACATGTGGGGGTGTCTGGTCACTTCGTTGCCCTCCTGCCTTGAGACCACCTCCCTTGCCACCAGGCCACGCCCCGCTCACCCAGCTGCTCCGGCTGGGCTGGGGAGCACATCCCCTGCAGCCACTCAGTCCTCCAAAACTCAGTGGTTGGGCGTGCCTGGGGCTCATGGCCTGCCGACTTGACATGAACCTGT